ATATTCAGAAAGAATATAACTGAGGTTGGTTCTGATGGATATCCTTCTCCCCCTGAAACACTTTCTATAAATTCTAGCAAAATGGTGCAGCTGAAGGATAACGCTAATTGCAGAAACTGCAGAGGAATGCACACAAGTGGTTCCAAGTCTAAGAAGCAGGGAATGAAGACAATTTTCACGTTTCACCCCAGGCTGTTTGATGAGACTTTCCTTAATTATGTTTATTAGGAATAGTTACCAAGAAGGATTTCGTTCTTTTTAATGCTACCATTCAAAAGCCACGGACCATGAAATCACATACTTCTTGCACATATTTGCAGTTTTTACAGAGGGTGTAGAACATACTACTCCAGTAGCTGCCAAAGTATCATTATTACATGCAGATTAGGCAAAAATCAGAGGGCTTAAAGGAGTATGTGTATACTGTGTAATTTGCAAAGTATGGAGAAAAAGACATCCCTTTCCAATTACACATACATTGATAACTTCAGCATTTAAATATGTCAGGAGTAGAATTTACCTTTGTAAAATTAAAACCAAACTAGACCCACTAGCAGTGGATTTGAAAACCAGGCATCAGGGAGCTTTAACAAAATCAAAAATATTCCAGGGCCTTGAAACTTCTCATGCACTCATTGCTTGGAAGTCATATTGCCAAAGTATCATGAATCCTACTAACAGGGTTTTTTTCTCTTTCAATAAAGTAGCAAGGCACATAGAGCTTTATTTTTAAAGAACCCTTTTACAGTCTTTTCCAAGTCAGGCAAGAGTCCTTTTCCTTGGTAATGGCAGAAAAGAAGAACTACAAAGGTATTAATCTTATTTACTCCTGTACATATTGGCAAAATTGCTAGAGCAGGGTGCATTTTGTAGCATTATAAAATCCTCAAGAGAATTGAATTCCTCCCACACCTCATCACCAAAATATTTTTGCAGGGAAAAATATGAATTATTTACAAAAGCAATTGCCAATAAAATTTCATCAAACTGTATCTGTTACAGAAGGTAAACATTTCTCCACCATCCAATTTTTTTACATTAGCTGAAATTCAGACCTACAGCTAAAATACTACTGCACCATTATTGTAAGAGAAATGCTGAGAGTTCCCTAATTATAGTGCTGCCAGTGGGAAGCACTGTTGCAAACACATGAGGAAAGGAGGATTAAAAGAACAATTCACCCCTGGAGAAATTCAGAGGAGAAAGATGCATTGCCTCAAGAAAATCCTGACCCACAGGTATTTTCCTTAGAATACTGGGAACTGTTTTTTGAAACCTTCTCCTGTATTTAGTGACAAATAATCCACATTACTGTCATAAGCACACATGACAGTCAAAACCACGTCTCTGAAATAGAAGAGCCAAATTTAAGGGGTGCAAGTGTTGAGCAATGGGCACAAATCAGGAACTGAAACACTGACAGCCACAAGGGCCATAACATTTGCCTCAAGTGCAAACAGTACCTGCTGCTCAGGACAAGTACTGGAACACCTGCCCATGCTGAGCACATGTAGGAGCCCATGTAGAAGCACATTTCATCACCAACAAAGTGGTGAAAACAAGCAAGTGGCTAAAGCTCAGGTACTGTTACCAGACTGTTTTTATTGCTGCAAATCCTCATCTTGAGTTCTAGGCCCTTGCTTCCAGAAGTGTGAGAGACAGGTAACTCCAGTTGGCAAGAGAATGCTCGGGAGTAACAGCACTGCTTTTTTATCACAAGTTGGGTACCTCGATGCTTAAGCTCCCTGAATTAATGGACATTTCAGAACTGCGCCATTTCTTTCTTCATTTCACACCTATTAATAACAAATTGTTCCTGATTCTGCATTGGTGGTGTGAAAATCATTCACTCTCCTTTCTGTAAAGCATAGGAGATCCCATGATGAAGTTAGAAACATGGATTTCAACAGTCTGATAAACAGTGCTAGAGAACATAAATTTAATTACAAAGATCAAAAGCAACAAACAGCTACACTGCCCTTCCCCTCACACCCCAACCGCACACACTTGGTGGTCCCCCAAACTTCTAATCTGTAGCCACAAGCAATCATCACCTTGCAAGGAACTAACTCAAGCAGTTTTAAAATTTAAAAATTCCTCTGCCACATTTGATTTTACTGAAGGTTACCGTTACACACACACCCCTCTGCTGGGTTTGCACAGTCCAGAACTTTGTTTTTACCAATCTGAATTGTCAGCAAAATTAAATTACTAAATTGCACTGTAGAGGCTATCACACATGTAGCTACTTTATTCCACTGAGCATGAAGAAAGTAATCTCTGAGAAAGCAGTAGCTTCTTTACCCAGAGAGCTAAATTTACTACTACTCGTCTGCTAATGCCTCAAGTGACACAAAAGCCCATAAGCAAATAAGCTGTGACCAGGATATTAAGGAGCAAATAACACCTCTACAAAGACATGTCTTCCACAGGTGTAGCATTTTCTGACTCAAGCACATGATAATACCCAAGTTAACTTTTGTCCAGATCTGCAGATGTGTTCTCTAAGAAGTGAGACCAAACCACAGAGCAACAGGAACTGGTGTGGAAACACCAAGTTTCTGAGAATATTATTCTGCAATTTAACTACATGACCTATGAACGTCATTTAAAAATTCATTTAGAGACAGAAAATCAGGTTGGGAAGTGAGATTTGAAACTGGGAGCAGAGGTGGAGATATTGGGGTTCTAAGGTATGCCATTTCCTTTAATAAGTACTTTTTGATGCTGAGGTCAGTCTTAGTGCATATTAAATAATTCATACCATCACTGTCCTGGTTTCAGCTGGGATAGTTAATTTTCTTCCTAGTGGTTGATACAGTGCTGTGTTTTGGATTTATTCAGAATGCTGATGACACTCTGATGTTGTAGGTGTTGCTTAGTAATGCTTACTCCAAATTGAGGACTTCCCAGTGTCCCATGCTCTGCCAGTGAGCAGGTGCACAAAGAAGCTGAGGGGGAGCATGGCCAGGACAGGGGACCCAAACCGACCAAAGGGATATTCTGTACCATAAAGCATTATGCCCAGTATATAAACTGGGGGGATTTGGCCAGGAGCTGCCAATTGCTGCTCAGGGACGGGCTGGGCCTTGGTCAGCAACTGTACTGTGCATCATTTGTCTTTCTGGGGTTTTATTTCTCTCTCTTTTTTTTGTCTCCCTTCTCATTACAATGAGTGTTAAATTTTATTTCAAGTATGAAATGGTCCTTAGCTCAACTCAGGGGTTTTACCTTTTTTCTGATTCTCCTTCCCACCCCACTGGGAGTGCATAAGCAAGCAGCTACATGGTACTTAGTTCCTGACTGGGGTTAAACCATGACTATCACAACTTGCATATATGTAATATTATAGACTGGCTTTCAGGAACTGCATTACCTATAAAATGACTTCTATTTTTATTCACGAAGTATATGTTTGTCTTTGATGATGTGCTGAAAGGGGCTCATTAAATTACTAATGTAACTATTAAAGCTATTAAATTACCAATTTTGAGGGATCAATTCAAAGCACATTGAGATAAGCATAAATCCAAAGCAAACTAAGTGTCTCTTCACTTCAATGACCCTCCTATGAGGCTCTGAATGCTAAAATATCTTTCTCCTGACAGGATTAACCCCTTCATTGTATGACCCTCCCTGGCCAAAACAGTTGAAGTAGTTATTCCTATGGCTCACAAATGTTCTGCCTGGTAGTACATAATGATGGGGGGAGAGGGATCCTTGGTTTGTGTTTACTTTTAGAGCCCAGGGGAGACATTGCTCCCTAAGCTTCCTGACAAGATGCTTATTTTTATTCACATTGTCACTGTGTTTTCCCATGAACAAATATTTATACTTTAGAGGAAATGTTTCAGTAACATGTATCAGACAGGATAAGCAATGTGTTCACTTCCCCTTACTATGAGAAAGCAATTTTGCTCATATGAGGAAGTAAATAAACAGATTCCCTAGAGATGCCTGGGAAGGGGTAATTCTTGCAGGGAACCTGTGTTGAAAATACTGGCAGCATGTCAGTTAGCTGACCTGCAGAGGTTTCATTTGCAATTGCAAGAAATGAATACATTAGAAACTTATTGTTTCCTTTTTTGTTCAGAAAAACAGACCATTCCCGTACAATCTTGTCTTAATTAAAACATTTTCCCTTCTGATAAATTTTAGTAGCATGTTATGTTCCTATCTGCATTATTATAATATGCATTCAATACATATGGCAAGATATAAATCCATCTTTTGTTAATGCTTCTGAACATATAATGGACTGAGAAGGCCAATGGGTGGAAACGACCTAATTTCATTGACTTCTCCAAATTCTGAGCAGAGGTCTTCACTATATGATCTCCTGAGGTTCCTTACAAGCTGAATTTTCCTGTGATCCCAAATTAAGGACACATATTTGGTTTTACTAACTTACATGCTTACTGTAGGAACTGTGAAGATCTGGCTGTGGTACTTGACAAAAGCAATATAAATATTCACCTCTAATTCAGGCTGGCAACGGCCCCACTTTTCCCTAGGCTGCAGAGAGCAGGAACTCAGAAACCTGCTGGGATGCATGAAACAGTACCTGCATATTTGTGGTACAATCTCTTTTTTCATCCCAGGATCTCACTCATTTCCTGCATCTGCAGTTAGTCTGTGTAAGTATTCGCTCTTGAAAATTAGACTTAGCAGCTTCCGTTTCTTTGATGCTTTGAAAAAAAAGCCTGACATTGGGTCAAAAGCTACTCTGTGCAGAAGCCACCCATTGCTAACCCTGCAACAACACCCATCCTTTATACATTTGTTTTTATCTACTGAAATATCAGAACAAAGCTGACTAATTCTGTAAATGAAAGGATTAATTCAAGGACTTTTCCATTTAAGTCTTCCAGTACAAAGTTCACCAAGACATAGATGCTAAAATACCTGACCAAAAGCTGCTGGACAGAACAGCAGTGGTGACAGGCAACACTAAGTGAAACAAGTCAGGTTTTCTTTTATTTCTCCCTGTCAATACTTACCTCAAAGGAGAAAATAGTGTTCATATCCATTTTTAGCAGTTTGATCAAAAGCAGAATTCCTTTAAAGATACTTCATGTCTTTCTCTTACTGTGGCATTCCTGAAGAGGAAAGGAGAGGGGAAAAAAAAAAGAAGAGAGAATAAACCTTATTTTCAACCTAAAATTACAACACATGCAATAGCAAAGACATCTTTTATGATCCCTTATATATTGTAAAACAGGCCTGCTTGGTAAACAAAACAGTCTTTCAAAGTTTCAAACAGGTAGATGGAAAATCTTCATTAAAATACTGTTTGTTCCAATGAATTGAAGAAATCATGGGTAGCTAGATGAGCTCTTGAGCATAACTGGAGATTGATACAGCTCTGTCAAATGAAGCTTGTTCTTTAGTAATTTTCCTCTGGATTTAGATTTTAAAAATCACCTTAGGTGTCATAAGTGAGCACTGCCGTATCACAGTTGACCAACTCCTCTCTGTTAGGTAACAGAGTCTGAGAAGGTTTTTTTGCCCACTTTCAAGAAAGCATCAAGACTAAAATACAGGCTGGCAGCCTGATGACACATGAACTGGGACTTCTGTGTTGCTTCCCCTTTGGTCCCAAATGAAATTAATTATGAAAGTGCTTAGCTGGGTTTGGTAAATATCTGTGTTATTATGGCTTGGTTCCCATCCAGGAGCAAGGCTGAGATTTTCCAAGAGCCAAAGGTGGGAGCAACACTGATTTCACTTCAGATGGTGCCCTAAAAGCAATGCTCAGTGACACAAGTAGGTTTCAGAGCTTCATGCTCTAGCTTGAGTAGCAGAAGCGAAATGCAGATTGTTCAGCTGAACAGACTAGTGGCCCACTTAGCTTCTCCAGGCATTTCTCCCTTCTTATCAGCAACTTTTCAGAGTTGAATTTAGGACTGAAGTTAGCTTCTCACAGAAATTCTCACCTGCTGTAGATACCCAGCACAGGACAACAGTGAGGGCAAACACAGAAAGTGAAGTAACACTTCCTTCCACCTTTGTGGAATAAGCAAGCCAAAGGGATTGACACAAGAGCTAGAAGCATGATCTTTATTTCCCTCTAGAAGTCCTTCCCTTCCCTTTGACACTTAACAATAAGCATTTTAGTGGTAAAGACCGTATCAGTCTTCCTGAACTGCCAGTTTCATGCAGTTACTGACAAGAATTGTATTGATGGCAGATTAGAAGTTACTTGCAGCTTCTTTCAGAACATCCTTTTTCAAAAAAAAAAAAAAAAAAAAAAAAATCTGGTTTACCTGCTCTTAAACCCAGAGCTCTCTCTGTTTTTATTTAACTGAGATCTCATACACTTCTAACAGCCTTTCTCTGCTTTGCCCTCATTAAAATCCACAGATGTGGCCTCCAAAGATACATCAAGATCCTTCTTGCTCTCAAACAGACATGCACCAGTTCATTCATAATTCTTTTTCAGCAATCATTAATTATTTACATTATTGTCCTATTAAAGGACACACTGAGACTCTCCTGCTTGCTGAGACGTTTTTAAATTGTTATGCTGTAAAGTCAGACCAGTTGTTTGAAGAATGTAAGTGGATAGAAATGTAGCTAAACCTGATTTTCATCATTACTAAAGCATAAGCCTAAAAGTTCCACTTCACAGAAAAATGTTTCTGGCCTCCATCCCCCCGCCCTCAGTCTTTAGGTTTCTGGTTTTGAAGATAGTTGGGACCATAAAAGAAAGGCTCAGTTCTTAATTAGCATTGTGCTGACTGATTACAACTTCAAATTATAAACATCTTTCATACCAAGCAGATCTTTTATCTCTGTGATGATGATCTGCACTCACAAGAACAGAGATGCTAAACCTTACATGGACCTTACTCATTTGAGTCTCTCTCACAGCTGAGAAGAGAGTTGGCTTTATACAACTCTCACCCTGAGTGCCTGCATGAGAGAGCACCAGTTCCTTCCAAGGCAGTGCAATTCCTTCTCTCTTCCATCTGCTCCACACCCAGGCAGTCATTACCTGAACTCACACTCACCCACAACAGCAGGCACACCGTGGTACTGTCTGCAGGACATGCAGCAAGGTTAGCGTAAGCTGAGGGAAACTAAAGCCAGCTGGAACACAGAGTAATTCAGGGAGGGATGTACCTCTATGGTCTAATTCTCCAAAGGGGGGAATTTCCTTTAAATAGGCAGGAAGGTGAGGAGTAGGTGGTTGTTGCTGCAGGTTGGCAGGTGAAACATTTGCTATGTAAACCAGGCCCAGAAGGAACGCAGGCAAGGCCAGGTGGAACACTAGGTTCCCTGGATGACTTGTTGGGGCCAACAATCATGTGTGATCTGGTCTAGGAGCCTCTTCTGTTATGGACAGGACACTCCTCTAACACAGTGACACTACAGAAAACTCAAGAAAACAGCCCAATTTTCTCCTCAGATCCACCTCAGCTTCACCTCTGGCTTGTTCAGAAGCCTAAGCTGATCCAGTCTTTGTCTCACCCCTGGTTATTTTGAAGATTATTACAAAACTAAAAACATTGCAGAATTTTATCCTCTAATACTACTTCAGTTTCCTTTTACCAGCCCATCATCTCTATGTATTGGTTTCAGTTTCTGTAACATCACACATTCACAGTACATCTGCCCCGAATCTCTTCAACCAACTTTGAAGGATTCTGTAGAAGAAAACTGCTTTTAAGCCTCATGTTTCTTCCTTGTTTAATATGTTCTCACTTCAAACTTTTGCCTTTAAGAGTTCAAATACCGGAAAAAGTTCAAGTAAAAGAAAGAGCAGAACCTTAATTCACTGTTGTAATCTTTACAATGACACACCTCACTTGCTGTACATTACATGGTTGAACAGACAGTAGAAATTTTACTTCCCATTGATAACTTAACCAACATTTCCTCTCAAGATATTTTCAAACCATTATATGTTCTAAAATCCATAGTAAATGCAAGTGTTTTGCCCTTTCTACTTCAGTTTAGGCAAGTGTGCTTTTTCTAGGGTCTCCCTAGGAGAAAAAGGAATTTTTTCCTGCATTGATTATGCAGACAAAAGAAACTGATGACATGTGATGTAAATATTTCTATTTAGCTAAGTACAAATGACAACATTTGGTGAGAAGTTGACAATCAGGTTCTAAAAGAAGATGGGATACTACGATTGCCACTCACCCTGCCTTAGGAGCACCCACAACAACTCAGTTAAACAGCTACTAAAAAGTGCATGTACTAAAGCTCTAATTTCCTATGCTCCCCAAGTAGGGAAAAGTTTTGCCCTTTTCTCATTCCTCCTTTTGGAGAGCTGCAAAAGAGTTGGGCTCAATACAGCCCAGTGGTTCTCCCCAGAGGTTCTCAACAACTAAAGAAGAGAAGAGGCTCTCTAACTTCATTCTCCTGCTAGTCTTTTTGGGAGGTACATCTTTCTTCATAATCAGGTCCTCTTGTATCCAGTTCTCTACACGCATTTGCACTCTGCACCAATTACAAATTTCATTCTTGTAATGCAGAGAACCATTAATAATTTAAGATTAAAAAGGAACCTAAGGGCAGGAATATTCCATTTCTGCTCACGAGATAGATGTTATTCTGCTAGTACGTCAACTCAGGTTATCTTTGTGCATGCTACGTTAATTCAGCAAATTGCTTTTCAAATAGAGTGCTTTCAGAAAGCGCCTGGAGATTCTATAGGAGAAGAAAGTTTCATTTCTATGGAAAATGTGCCAAACCAACGTCAAGAAAGTGAAATACAAACAGATTTTAGATTTGTCCATCTAGTTTTCACAAAGAGGGGGTAGCCACGATAAATTTCCTGCATGAACGTGTAAAAATCATGCCAGGTGCAGCGATAAACACCCCAGCGCACTATTTGCACCGCGTTCAACCACAGAAACACCAAACGCCTAACGGTATCTAATGGCTCGGCAGCGATGCAGCAGGACCGCCTGACTCCCGGGAGAGCCGTCAGCATTTTTGGCCTTACCGGCGAAGGGCACGGGACACCAGGACGAGCCGGGCGGGTACCGGGACCCCGCTGGGGCAGGAGCCCGGGGCTCCGGTCAGGACGTGCCCCGGAGCGGGGAGCGCCCCCGGCCCGCTGGGCTCCTCCGCCACGCACCTCTCCTTCCTTCCCGCCGATCCAGCGCAACTCCCACCGCGCCCGGCCCCGCCGGGTCACCGCGTCCCGCCCGGAGAGCCTCGGGAAGCCCAGACAGCGGGCAGCGCCGGGCAGTGGGCATCACCCGCCCGCTCCCTCCCTCCCTTCTCCCCTCCTTTCTTCCCGTGACCGGGGCCGCAGCGTCTCACCTGAGCGCGGAGCGGGACCCGCTGGGGGCAGGACAGAAGTGACCCGGCGCGGTGCGGTGCCTGGTGCGGTGCCCGGCGCTGCGTGTGCTGTGTGGTGTGTGCGGTGCCCGGTGCTCAATGCCCGGTGCTGTGTGCGGTGTCCGGTGCCCAATGCCTGGTGTTGTGTGTGGAGCGGTGTGTGGAGTGCCCAGCGCCCAATGCCCGGTGCTGTGTGCGGAGCGGTGTGTGCGGTGCCCAATCCCCAGTTCCCAATGCCCGGTGCTGTGTGTGGAGCGGTGTGTGCGGTGCCCAATGCCCGGTGCGGTGCCGGGTGCGGCGGGTCCCGCCCTGCCCTGCCCGGCCCGGCGCGAGCGGAGCGGGCGCGCGCGCCCCAGCCAATCAGCCCCGTCACGTGAGCGCGCCCCGGCACGCGGTGCCGCTGCCGCGGCCGTTACAGCAGCGCCCGCGCGCGCGCGGCGGCGGCGGGAAGCGCGCGGGGAGGACGGGGGGGTGGGGGCGTGCGCGCGCCGCTCCGCTCTGAGGGGGCCCGGGGGTCGCCGCATCCCCTCACGGGGGGCTCCGGTGCAGCCGGCGGCGCCGCGCCCGCCCTTCCTGCCCTCGGGAGACATCGCTTCCAGGAATTGAGGGGCTGCGGAGGCAGGAAATCCTGCGGGGCCCCGCAAGGGGAGCGGCCGCGCTGGCGTCCCATCAGCGCGGAGCAGCGCGGGGCATCCCCCGCCCCCTCCTCAGAGTCGGTCCTTGCTCCGTGTGAGCACCCGCATGATGAAATGTTGAACTCAGCTGTGCGCCTCTCTGGGGTGCGGATGCTCCTGTGTTTGACATTGCTGTCGGACGAGAACATCACACCACGCTGCCCGCCTCAGTTTCCCCACGCAGGACTTTGATGCTGAATTCTAGCTAAAAAGGAGCGTTAAGCCTGTTTTCCATCCATAATGCTTTACATTCACACTGTTCTCAGGGTGTCTGACCTCTGTACGAATAATGCACTAACAGAAGTCTTGAATGGGAGCAATAGTGGGAAGCCATAAGTAATCCAGCACTGTAGGGCATTTGAAAGGGTTGTAGAGCATATTGCTGAAATGCTTTGGTAAATTTGAGGAATGGTCTGGTAGCCTGGTGTTGAAGGAATTTTCTGCTTACTCAGTATCTTGGACTCAATTTTCCACCCTGGATCTCTCTGCTCTCTTCAGGAGGATTTTGGAGGACTGTGTGCTCACCCTTTGTGCCAGTGTTTCACGTCACTCAGCAGTGACGTTTAGTGGTGGTTATGGAGGGTTTCTGACAACGCAGCCCTTCCAGGCTAAAGAAGAGTGATAAAGGGCTTAAAGACAGCAGGAGCTGGCAGTATTGCAGGTAGAGGCAGGCTGGGCTTGCAGCCAAAATGCTCTCCTATCGGACTGGCAGAGATCAGGCATTCTGCTCAGAACTAATGAACCTCGCCCCAGATCAGGAAAACCAGAAGAGAAGCAGGGTTCATTGAATCTTTTTTCTTCTTTTGATGATTTTTATTTCATGTGCTTCCCTGGGGAGTCATGAAGGCTTGAAACTTACCTGCTGTATCCTGTATCAATATTGCGATATACGCGCGTGCTGTGTCAATACCTGCTGTATCAGCATGCTGAACAGCGCAGCAGGGTGAATTTGCCTGTGTGCAGCTCTGTGCTGCCATGGATAGACTGCCTTCAGCACATAAATCAGCTTTAGAGTACTGTCAAACACCAGCATACTCTGTGCTTTTTACATTTGTAAATGAAATGTGGGAGGATGATCACAGGATTCCAGGAGCTGGGTCTTTAAAATAAATGACACTTGGTACTGCGAGCCCCTCATTGAAGAGTCAGAAACTCTTAATTGGCTAAATTTTAAGATTCTGAATAAATACTAAAAGAGAATGACCTTTGCTGGGTATGTGGTACCAAGGGCAAAGAAAGATTGCTGGGCCACATTTACTCGCAAGAAATGAAAGCATTACTTTGTTTGGGAAGAGTTTATAGAGTTCTGGTACCTTCTATTTAAAGCCCCTATGAGGAAGCCTCCACAGTGCTTCCACAGCATTTGGGTGCAGAATTGTATAGTTGTGCAATGTTAGTCCAAACAAACTGACTAAATTCCTGTAATTTTTGCTGGAAACGCACTATCATTTGCAAGGCGACTGGAGCAGACAGCTGAGCTCACAGGGTTATCATCTGCATCTGTTCAGAGGACAGCCTCCAACCTTGTATTGGCTAACATTTTTAGCTCTGCCAACTAAACCCACATGAGATAAAAGTCCACCCACACAACAGGTTATGTAGTTTGCTTTAAATCAGCTGTGTTTTGTGAACACTGAATGACTTGCTTCTATTTCATGCATTTCCTTTAGTACTTCAATATGAATTTAGGTTGCTTGAAAGGTTCTTGACTGACAGTTTCGGAAATTGAACTCCTATGTTTAATCCCAGTCTGGTCCAGCACAAGGAAGCTTCTCAATGCTACCAGGCAGGAAGCTTTGCTGGGCTGAGGATAGTCCCATTCACTTACTTTCTCATGCCAGCAAAGGCAGGATTTCCTGTTTCTTCACTGCCCTGTAGTTACTGGGTGTAGGATATTATTACTACATTAAAACTATGCCTTGGATACTAAGACTGCATGTTTAATTAAAAAAAAACAAAAAGGCAAGTATTTAGTAAGTAATCTGCTCTTTAAAGTGTGATTATTCCATTTCAGCCTTAGATTAGTTAAGCAGTACTCTGGAAAGCTAATGGTCTTCACAGCACCCTTGCTCTATTTTTGCCAACTTTAATTTATTGTCCTTATTGAATTTTGCAAATTCATTTATGCTTTTAAGATTCAGCTTATTTTTATGCAAAATTGCAGGTGTTGAAGCTATAAGGAGAGATGCAGAGTGTGATGTTATCCTTCAAAGTGCACATGGAATACATGAGGAGAAGCTATGTAAGTTCTAGGCTTGCAGGTTTTGGATGCCAAAACCCTATTAAATTTGCTGTTAAGAATAATTATTGGCAGACAGTTGTATAACTTTTATGACAATATCTCTTGAACCCAGGCATAAGACAGACTGATACCAGTCATGATGTCAGACTGTGATTGCATTACTCCCCATTCACAGAAGGTACCAAGGTGACAAAAATATTTATGAGTGTGTTTTCATTGCTGCACCATTGTTATCAAGCTGCAGTTATGTTAGTCTGATTGTAGTAGCTCCAGATGACTCATGGCTTTCATTATATGTCTGAGTTCTTAAAGGATAAAGGATTTGGGAGAGGTTATTTATTTTCTGCAGAAAAATGGTAAAAAATCTGTTCTGTGATAGTAAGTGCATTTGTACTCTTCAGCACCCATTAAATTTTATAGGATGGAGGTAAATTGTGAGCTTTCTGAAGGTCCTCACACCTGTTTTCAAGCAGTGCCTTGAAGCATTCACAGACAGTGAATAGAGCATAGACCTTTGTGCTGTGGTGGAACAGGGAGTGTTTGTGCTCTCAGTTCTGCCAAATGAACTGTGGAGACACGGGAGGTCATGTGGGAGGTGGAGATGAGCAAGTGCCAGGCCTTTCCAGACAGGTCTGGAAGCCAATGGCTCATTATGCTACAATTTATTGAGATGTTTTTAATGTTTTATTCTCTGTTTTCTTATGGTTATGACTGTGGTTACTGTAGCCCTTTACTGCCACATTGGCCTGGAACAGGCTTCAGATAGTGGAATTCTATTGCTGTGTATTCTCTGGCTCTGCCCATGGCCTCCAGCAGGCTGTGGCCAGCTCTGGCTTACATTCCTGTTCCCTGTCATTTGGTGTTAGGGCAGGTGGAATTCCTGTTCCCCACATCTGTGTGTGGCAAAGACTGTACTGGCCTTGAAAGCTTCTTCTTTGTCCCAAGAGACATCAGAGTCACAGTCATTTGGCTACTGAGGGCTTTCACAGCCTTATTATGGCTTTAAGCTGTAATACAACAAATCAGAGCAGTGAGAGGTTTTAGTTCTTCCCTGTGACGTTTTGGCAAGTCCACACCTAAAACATTGTACGTAGTTCAGTGGGAGTTGTGAGTGGAACAACAGCTGAATAGAACGTCAGGAGGCATGTTACAGCCTTTTGCTGAAGGTGCACGTCAGCTTTATAGACTGTTATAAAAATAATATTATAAACACTGCAGCAATCACCACTGTGCTTATGCTACACAAACCTGGGTAAGACTGGTGAAGGTTTGTCTGGGTAAAGGAACTGACTTTGAAACTGGGAGAGGAAGGATTTCACTGGCAGATTATAACAGTGAAATATTGTAACCCGAGGAGAAATAGTTTGTGGAAATGTCAAATAATAGACAAAAGTTATGCAGAGAGAACCCATTACTGATTTTGGAAAACCTACCTGAATCTCTCATTTCTTTGGGCTCAGAAATATCAGGAGTGAAATGACAGCAGAATTCCTGACATCTAGTGGTTCTAACAAATAAACATTTGTTAACTCTGCTTTGATGGACAGTCCCTATTTATCCAGCATCACTCAAAGTCATGTCCTCATACAGCTCATTCTTTATAAATAAAAAGACTTATAACCAGCTTGGACAAGCCTACCAAGAAAACACTCCAAAGAACACTGGAAAGAACAACAATGCCTTGGAAGGAGGATAGAGGAAACAAATCTTTTCCCTCATTTATTTCCGCAGTTTTATTAAAGGCAGTAAATATATTTAGCCACATTGAACCAATCTTTTGTAAAGCACAAAGTTCAGCAAGGAAAGCTTGTATGACTTCATAATTAAACAAAACTGATCCAGGAAAAAGGGATCATGAAGTAATGTAAAACTGTCTGAAGCTTATCCATCCTTGTGTTCAGATGTAAAACTGAGGCAGAGAAAGAACTGACCAAAATATTCCTCTCCTATCCTTCTTCTACACTGTAACTACAGAGCTCAGGGATGAATTTGATGTGGGGAAGGAGAAGGGACTAAGTCCCTCTGTTTGTGTGTGCTCCTGCAACATAAGGGTTGTGGCTGTATAGTCTTTCTCTGTGTAGGCTGAGTTGCAGAATTTAAGCCAAGGTGGATGGCAGCAATGCATAGTGTGTGTGGCCGTTTGCTCCACCAATACAGAGCATTTGCACCAATGTCACTCCTTTCCTAGCAAATCCTCTGTATAACAAGCCAAGACCTTGCTCAAACTCCCCTTGTGTAGTATGTGGGAGTCTCTCATAAGCATCACTCTCACATAAGCATATTTTTTTGTAGTGACTGTATACAACAGTTCAAATGCTGGTTGCTGTAACAGAACTGTGGAGCACATACTGGAGCTGTCGTGTGTTCCCCCTCCCACCCCCCATCTATCCCATTCATAAGTTAGAACAAGCAGCTAAGGATATGAACTATGACCTTGTTCTGTCCTCACAAATACCACTCAACAGTACCAAAGGACTTTAGCCAAAAAAAGCCAGTCTTTATAATTACAGGAAAAACAGTGTTCTCTGATATCTCAGATTATGATGTGCATGCGAAAATGGATGCACACCTGTGTCTGACATGGCAACACTGGCAATTTGGGTAGTTCTCAAGCTGGTACAATGTGTTACCGGGTATGTTTAGTTGTAGAGTGTTTGAACCACATGTAAACATCTTTTTCCAGACCTGTCATCCATAAAAGGAAATTTAACTGTAAGTAGTATTTCTTCATGCTGTTTAATCTACTTACTGTCTGTTTTCACATCTTTGTTCTGTCTCCCATTTATCAGCTAAAATGAAATGTAGGTGCTTATGTAAGATTTTTCAACAAGTTTTTGCTGTTAAAAAGGCCCAAACCTTCTGCCAAGGTGTGTAAGCACTGAGGTTCCTCAGAAGCCAAAGTCAACACAGCACAAAGCCATCTCTGAGAACGCAGAGGACCTGAGTGTCGAATAGGCCTTCTCCTTTGCTCCATGTGCAATTGGAGTCCCTAATTTGCTGTTGGCTTATGAGACCCCCACAGAAGTTAAGAATTATCACTTCGTAGTGTATCACCAGTGGAGACTAGAGTTGTCTCACTGTAAATAAGAGAGGTCTGCTACAGTGGCAGCCTCAGTAAATAATCCATTTGTCTGGATTCAGATTCTGAGCTCTTTGTTCTAGCAAGATGTTGGATCAGATGGATGGTCTGTATTTTAATTGTTTGTGAGCCAGAGAGCAAAAGAGGATCAAGAAAGAGAATTAAAATTTTTGTATTGCCTCTACATTTGAAGATTGTAGTATACCGCATAAGAAAACTTTCTCTGCATTTTCCAGCAGAGAGACATTGAAAAGGTGCCAGATACATTTAAATGAACCTATTAAAAAGACAATAAATTTGGAAATATGGAGAAAAAGAAAGAGAAAAGTGAGTATTACTTTCAGATATTCACATTTATATTTTAATGGAAATAGTTAAGTAAATACTGCCAAACTAGTATTTAATCTGCAGAGCTTCATTTGGGCTTGAGGTCTCTGTGTCTTGATATCTGTAGAAAAGTTGTTTTCTAAATACATAACTAGCTCCTGTAAACATTGCATACTGTATTTGTAGATCAAGAAAAAAGAGAAAAAGTATGAAGACAATTTTAGTACAGAGAGAAAATTTTGGCAACATCCTGTGCTTTGTTACCAAGTACCTTCTCTTTTGAGACTGAGTGCATGTGGCACTAAACTCCAGAAAGTTTTCCATTGTCCTTAACAAAATCAGTCACTGTCAATGCTCCATTAGTGTCTCTAAATACAGATTGCTCCTCTGCTAGACCTTTCTGGAAGGAAGATGTTTGAAGAATCACAGTTTGAAATATTTCAGGAAAGTTCAGATGTTTTGAAATCTGAGAAAGGAACAGACTGGATGGTGTAGGCAATGTTGTTACTTGTTACTGAACTACCAGCTCGTAAGCAGTTGCACTACAGTAACCCTTTGATTTATAAAAGTTAATAGACATCTTCATAAGTACTTGATATTTGGTTCAGCCATTACAGTTATAACTATTGATAATACTTCTTTGTCCATGACATGCTTAGATTTATAATGATTTATATATAAACTGTTCAAGGAACTTTTGAATATTGTATTTCTACTTCTATATAGTTAATAAAATATGAACAATTTTGATTTCCTTTTAAGGAATTCTGTAGATTTAGTGATAAATTTTTGAACTATTTTTTGCCACTTCAATTATAGTCTGTTATGAAGAACAACATCTTTAATTTCTCTCTCATTTTTCAGTAGACCTGCAAGCACAAGTGTTGCCATTTGACTGACATACACAGTTTAGAAATCTTTCCTAATATCTCACCAGTCTGAGTTTTGGAAACTTCTTGACAACATCTAAAAAAAAATTCTTGATAGTATTTTCATGTTCTGAAAATGCAGAACAGTGTCTGCCATGTGACTATTTGTGCCCTGGTACTTGTCAGTGTTTAGAGTTAACATAATCCACTAGCACTTAAAAGGATAAATGGATGCTTGTGCCTCTCACAAGTGTGTACCATTTTATTCAGTTGGGAGTGCATGCAGAGCCACTAACCAGTACACAGAAGATACAGAGGGAAAGGAAGAATTAAATCTGGCCACAAATACTGAAACAGCAAAATAATAATAGAATCACAGAATAGTTTGAGTTCAAACAGAGCTTCAAAGGTGCTGCCCCAGGGATGGGGCATCTACCAGTTTTCTGGGCAACCTGTGCCAGTGTCTCACAAACTCATTGTTAAAGGTGTCTTCCTTATATCTAGTCTAAATCCATTCTCTTTTAGTTTAAAACCATTACCCCTTGTCCTATTGAACAGACTGTACTAAAAAGTCCATCCCCATCTTTCTTATGAGTCACCTTTAAATATTGAAAAGCTGCAATAGGGTCTCCCCAAGCCTTCTCTTTTTCAGGCTGAACAACCCCAACTATCTCAGCTTTTCCTCAGAGGAGAGGTATTTCATCCCTCTGATTATTTTTGTGGCTCTCCTCTGGACCCACTCCAGCAGGTCCCCATCTTTCCTGTGCTAAGGAATCTAAAAGAGTCCTGACAGTTCAGATGGCAGCAACTAGAGTTGCGGTGAGAAATTGTTACAAATTATCTGCATAAACCTCAGTTATCCCAACTGAATCTTCAACACACAGTCAGATTCCAAGCTTCCCGGATCAGGCAGCCCTGACACTACGATCACCAGCAGTGCCTACAGTGTGTCAAGATTCAGTTCTATGGAAAGGGATTTGAACTTGCAGTGACATGAACTTTCCTTCCTAGTACAGAGAAGCAGCACTTCTGCAGGGTCTCATTTTAAGACTACTCGTCTCATCAGGAAATCAGTGTCAGTACTTCAGACTATAGAAAGTTTCCTTTCTTTCTACCCCTGAATGTGGTTTGGCTTTTGAAAGATAACAAGGCAATCTGTCCTGTCATCTGTTCTGTCACATCACTTGTACTGTTACATATTGTGGCTCTTAAGAACAGAAAATAAAGTAGAAAAAACTTGACAAAATCCATAGTTAAAAGCCATGTTATTTTTAAATTCAGGGTTTATTAAGTGGAAAATAGATGAGTTTTTCTTTTCTTAGTCCAAAGTTGATCTGTGAGGTAAAAAAAAGCTGTAGCCTTAGTGACATGGTTGACTTTCTGAGTATCTGGCAAGAATATTTGTATTTTGGTATAAATCTGGGCCATTAGAAAGAGAACTAAGCAATAGTTTGTGATTGGTGACTGTAAAATTTGATTAATAGAGCACATGCATTCATCTGAAAATATTTTACTTCTTAGGTTGTATTTCTGAGCTTTCAAGCACTCCTGTTAATTGTTCATTGAGAATTGATCTTGCTGGGAATTAAAAGCAAAGAGCACTGTTAACTGGATAGTGAGAATAATAGGGATTCATATCTACATTTTGGAGGCAGATTGAGGCAGTGAAAGTGGAAAATCCCAAGGCACTAACTGGTATAAGTCTGGTAAATTCTGTGACATGGGGAGTTTTTGGCTGGAATTAGTATCTTTGATAAACTCAATGTCTTCAGTAGTTGCTGTTTCCAATGCTTGGAGAACAGAACTGCAATTTTTGCAATAGAAGGCTACCAGGAAAGGAAGTTAGTGAGAACTTTGGTGAATCTGCCAGGGCACCTTGTCTAGTTTATGTCTCTTGAGTTACAAACAGATCTGAGAGAAGCAGGGCTGAAGAAGGTACAATTTCATGTTTGCATCTTCTGGGGATCTAACAGTGTCTGCACTTTGACCAAAATTTTCCTCACAGTTGGGATAGTCAGTGACTGAAATTGGCTGGATATTAGGGTGGGACTAAGTTTGTGCATATAAAGGAAGTATCATGCCATAAGAGTGATTGTTTATTAGCAAGCTCTTTTCTTACTGTCCTGGTTTTCTGTGAAATATGCTGTGTCTTACTTCTCTGCTGTGTAATGTATTAAAGCCCTTTTTTTTTGTTGTTGTTTTTTTTCCTGTTCCCCCCATATAACGCAGCAGCAGCAGCAACAGCAGCCTGACAAGTAGTTTAGCTATCAACAAGGGTACTGCCATAGGCTCCAATTGTCATCAGCCCAAATGCTGTCTTGGAATGATGTAGTTACATTCCTTTTGGTTCTGGGGCAGGACAGGCTTCCTGGGAATGGGTGATGCTGATCTCCCATCCAGGTTCTGTGGGAATAAGTGGCCCATTCTTAGGGCTTTTATTTAAGCTAATGCACAACTACAGGCATTGTCTCAGCCTTAACAGATTTAGCAGGACAACTTCCTTAAGGAAAGATTTACCAGTATGAATAAATGAAATACATTTGGTCTGTGAGAATTCATACCCAGAGTTTACAAATGAGGTGTGATAAAGTCACTGTGGGTTGAAGGTAAAATAAGATATCATAAACAAGGACTTCAGTGTGTAGCAATGCCTGCATATATGAAACATTTCATTTCAGTTCATTTGAAGCCCTGTTCTTTGCAGCCTCAGTGTTCACTTTTTCCCTACCTGTAAATCATAAGGTGACTGTTTGAAGAAGATCATGTGTCTCAGAGCGTGCAGGTGAATGGAAGGTTAAACATTGTGACTGGCATTCAGGTGACTCTTGTGCAATCAATCCCAGTGATATGATACTCAGTCAAAAGAACTGAGACAGAATTGACAGTCATGGGGAGAAGAAAAGAGAGGAAGAAAGTGAAGGGGAGGCTCTTAAATATGTTTTCCAACGTTGCATTAGGAAAAAAAAAAGACCTGGGCTCTGATTCTTGGCTGCAGCTGAGTCTCTGGCAGCTATGGGGATGTGCTGAGTGCTTGCTCAGGTGTTCAGGAACACAAGGGAAAGGGGTGGAACCCAGAACCTCCTTGTTCATATTCTTCCAGAGGTGGAAGGCAGAAGGGGAGAGAGCCAGGTCCTTGGCTATATCCTATATAAAATAGTGACTGACCCACTATATAAAATAGTGACTGTTTCTTTGCATGGTCATAGAAGAGCCAAATATATTTGCTTATTGTACATTTTGTACTATCTTGCAAAACAAGAGAGTTTAACAAGAGCAAGAGAGTATTTTTTTCTGCAGTAAGATGCTAAAATGTGTCAAAGATTTCGATGTTCATAAATACACAAGAAAGCCGATGTTTAGATGGCCCAAGGAAGGGTGATTTAAAGATTCTGTTCAGCATGGAGTTCAGTGTTTCATGGGCCAGTTCTAGCAAAGGTATCCACACAGGTATCATTGTACAGTAGCTAAAAGAAATTAGTTAAAACCTTAAGCTGAAAGACAGAGAATCTCTTTGCATTCTTTTCTAGTTAGTCTTTCAGTGAAGTGTTCTCAGCATACTAGTAAATACTTCACGGTTTGCACAGAGTTCATATTCTTGTCATTATGTTTACAAATGTATACCTGATTGGGAAAAAAAATCTTTCTGAGGGAGAAGAGGTAGTGGATGTGAGGCATGGGATGTGAAACTTCATATTTCTATAGGCCTTTGGAGGGATTCCAAAAGTGATTTAAAATCTGAGGAAAGGTGGCACACAGGTAGTGAGGCAGCTGTGGATGGCAATGCACTCCTAAGCAGTTCTGCAGTTCTGTACAAGAACTAAGAGGTACAAGGAGTAAGATATATGAAAACAAAGGCATGGAGGCAAAGTGATGTATAATCTGGTACATGATCCTCTTAAAAGTGAAGGATAGCCTGTGCTCTCCTTTGCTTTCCAGCTTTCTGCAACAGAGAGTGCAGCTACCTGAGTATATCTGTGTCACACATGGCAGACAGTCACTGTGAGGTCAGGGCCAAGGTCATTCAGTGCACACCAGACACGGGGCAAATGTAAATATAGTTTATCTTAGAAAGACATCCTAGGGGTGGCTTGCACCCCTTGACCTGCCCTGGCCCTCCCCACCCTCCAATAA